TAAATAATAAATAATTATTATTATATATATATATATATATATATATAATTGCTTACAATTGGTTTAAAGTAATAATATATATTACTCTATTTTGAGTATTTTGAAAAAGTAACAAGTGTGCTTATAAATAACGCATTTAGTTCTTTCCTAATCTCTTATTTGCATGTATACATTTAATAAGTGACATTTCATAGTATATTATTATTATATATAATATTTTCCATAACCACATAAGCAATGTAAATTACTTTTGCTTTAACTTTAAAAATGTAAAATAATATTTATATGCTAGAAGATAATAAATATCATTTATTTAACTGTCAAAGAATATATTATTCCTGCAGTTATTCTCAGAATGAACATAATTTCAAATTTATTTTCTGTAGAAGTTGATTTCTAAACATTCATTTTACTAATACTGTATTTTATTCATAAAATATTTACGTCAAATTTTATACAGCATCACATTATTAGATATTATTGACCCACATGACCGCTTATCAATTCCACATATATAAACATTTGCATCTCTTTCACTCTATCGCTTCTTCTTAATCTTCTCTTTTTTCTTTACATCTGCATTCCAATAGTACAGAAGCTGCGCCACTATTATACTGTTTGTTAGTGTTGAACATACATACATTGTTATCATAGTTGTATCACCTGTTTCTTGGATGGAAGTAAAAATTCTCGCGAGAGAACCGAAGAACAACATAAAACATGTTGCCGCTGATAATTGGCCAGTATTTCCATTGGAATAATTTGTATAGGCTTGTATAAACTATAATCATACAAAATCATTCATTGATTAAGGTTAGAAACATATTAGCAAGTTACAAAGTATAACAGAAATAATCAGTAACTCTGATTGCACACCTTACTGATAAGAACAATGGGTATATTCATTGCTTGACAAATCCAAAGAACACGAATAGGTGTCAGTCCGCTAATGGCTGCAAACAATACTGCCAGATAAGCGGAAAAGAATGCAGTTGCTTTGGCTGTGTCTCCACTAAAACGCATTACTAGAACTGCAATGGTTATAGTTTGAAGCCCTAAAAATATTCCATCTCCCCATGCACTGAAATTACAATTAAAATTAAAAAAGCAATGTTTTATTCATTATTATTTTGGTAATAATAAATTATGTACTTACCTAAATGGAAACCCACTAATAAAACTATAAGATGACATAGCAGTGATAGCAAATAAATCCAACAATACACTGAAGACATTGATTCCTTCTCCACTTTTGTTTTTCCAAATTTTCACAATTTGAGGTACTTTCACTAAAAAGAAGATAAGAATATGCTTATATAAGATGTTTATGTACGTTATCATGTAACCTTCATAATTATAATAGAATTTCAAATTGTTGAACTATAGTTTACCATGATAATAGCTGTGATAACTTACCATTATAAATTAAAATTTTCAATAATCAGATAAAATATTTAAAATATTCATGAGCTAAATGGATATATTTATATACTAGAGAAATTATTATTATTAGTATACTAACCAAGCAAGGAACCTGCAATAATACCTAGTCCTAAAGTTTTGCTCAGCGTAGCTTTGAAACATCCAACTGGAACATTTTTAAGATGATCATGTTTTATTTGCATGTGATTATATCTATTTATTAAAAAATTCATTTTTAATCTCGATGACTTGACGATAGGTTACCAACAAATTTTAGACTTATCACATTAATAACAATTGAACATCATGTAAATTTCTTAAGAATATGGTTAAATGAAACAAATGACATTAGACTTTTGAAAATATTAATATCAATTAATTAAATATAAGCCATTTTATATTTTTAAAAAATTTTAAATATTTTAGACATAAATAAATATTACTCATAAATAATATATTACTTTTGTGAATTGTAAAAGGCTTAACATAAAATTGTTAATATTATCACTGTAAGAACAAACATACCGTGAAGAAAATTGAATTTGTCGAAGTATTCTTTTGCACATTCTTGAGTAAATAATAACGTTGCTTTTCTAACAAACTGTGCCATATTGTCGTAATTTGCACTCGTATTATCTTGCAATGTGTATACTCATCAAATGGAGTGATGCAAATCAATAAGCAAGAAAATATTCCCTGCTAATTATGTTTTTAAATTGTTTTTATGAAAATTTCTCTCAATCCAGTTCGTCACACATCTATGCACATTTCCTGCCAACTCACACCGGCGTTCATTGATACGAGTTGGAATTCGCATAGAAGGCATCTCGACGTAATGTTTAGTAACCATTACATCAAGCAAACTTTGAACCATTGAATAAAAAGAAACAGGAGGGAGCGTTTGGTCTTAAAAGTGCGGACGGAAGTGACTAATAGCGTTTTCGATTATACAGGATTTGAACCCAGGGTTGATCAATCACTATTTTACTATAAATGCAAGTCTTTCATTGGTGGAGAGGTTGCAATGACGTCATTAACCAACCCTGGGTCGTTCAAATCCTGTATAATCGAAAACGCTATAAGTACATAGCGTTATTCCTTGCCAAAAAATGAGTCGAAAAAAGTCCTGAATCATTTTTAATAATTGACGTGTTACACATACGCTATACTATACTATATACGCTATAATTCTCCATCTAGTAGGAACCAAAATGGCGGATAAAAATACCTACATA